CCTAAGATCATATCCTTGTATGTTTAATTATGTCCAATATCAAATAATTAATATAGCTTTTTCATCACAATCCATCTTGATAAAATTATTCAACTTGGAATCAGGAACTTGTCCTCAAGTGGATTGAATGGAGATATAGCTCCCCACATAACTAATCTCACAATGATACAATCCTTGTAAGTATATCCGTCCCAATATAATTAATTAACATGCATTTCAACTTGTTGATAATGCAAAATAAGTTCAGCCTTTTCGTTACAGATAATAATCCAAGTTATCCTTTGTGTCTATTTCAGGGACCTGTCAAATAATAGCTTAACTGGACAGGTGCCTGATTTTTTCTCTCAACTGCTTTCTTAAAACTCTTGTAAGTTTACTAAGTAGGGATTTGAAACTTAAATTGCAAGTTCATGGCATCAAAACTAATAAAATAAAGGATCTGAGGTATAATAATGTTCACTCTTCTACTGCAGAAATTTGATAGGCAACAACTTCACAGGTTCAATTCCAGCAGAGCTGCTTGCAAGATCAAAGAATGGATCACTGTTACTGAGGTTTTCTCCTCCTCTCAAAAACCATAAACCTAAATTACCAAGATCTCTAACCATGAAATATAATTTCATATACATGAAATTAGATCCTTTTTAAGGGGAAAAAATTAATTTCCATAAAACAATTTTCAATAACTGTTATGTTAACCAGACAAATTTTGAATTGTTTTTTTATTTTATTTCAATAAAACTGAAAACAAGTAGGCTACATGTTTGCCACTTTTATAATAGGTACAACTAAGATAGATTAAGAAATGATTAGCATTTGTGCAATCCTTGTCTAACATTTGTCATCTAAACAGTGTTGATTGAATTGAAGGTGAAAACACAGATCCTTGTCAGTCTATTCCATGCGAAAAGAAAAAAAAAGAGCATGGTTGTTCCAATAGTTACATCCGTTGCTGGACTGTGTTTGCTACTAGGAACTGCAATAATGGTTTCTTTGTGGATCATTAAAAGGAGAAAACGAGGTATGAGAATCATTGTCCTTATAAACTTAATGACTAGTCTTAATTTGAACATAATATCCAAATTTTTGTAATAAAAATCTGCTCAATTGAATCATCTTTATCAAATTGATATGATTTCAATAGTCAAGAAAGAGGATGCAGAAACAATGTAACGACCCAAATGGGATACCAAAATAATAATAAAAATCTATAAAAAATTTCGGCATAGCCTTCGCAGAAAATGTCTCTAAACAACCTGTTGAAATACAAAAAAAATAATTACAATGGCTTCACTGGGCCTTAAATCTAACATATCCTGTCCCAACGCAATATACATATATTATATCATATCTCCAAAGTGACTACATACATACAAAATTCCATTCCTCCATCTCATCCAACAAGGAACATACGTTGGTTACATCAAGTTACAATCCAAAAAGCGTAGTTAGAATTTAAAAGTTCATGGCTTACAACATTATACTAATTAAACTAAAGTTTTACGAGTTAGTTAATATTACATTTACAAAATATTAGAGAGTTTTAATACAAAAGATAGCAAAAATAAAATAAAATAGGTCTCCGTGCTCGTCTAAAGGTGGATCGTCGTCCGCCACCTCTTTTCCATGTCCTGAAAAATGTTAGAAATAATGGAGTGAGCATAAGCTCAGTAGGAAGTGTCTAAGACACACTTCTTATATTCCCGTGAATCCATACAAGGAATAGATAAAAAGTGAAAGGGATCATGCTATAAGGAAACACACACTCTCAAATACAATAACAAGTATGTAACAAATACCACCCAATCACAAGTTTACCACAATGTCATGAAGTGCAATATGCAAACGTTACTCCCCATTTTCCGAAACATTTCCGTTTCAACTTCCAAAACCGTTAGTGTAATCCGACCCAAGGCACCTCCAAGGCGTCACGAATGGAGGGTTGACTAACTATCCACGACCACAAGGCACCTCCAAGGCGTCACATCCGGCCTAGTTAGCTCAACCATGGTCCCTTCTAGACTACACTAACACCACAGACCACTAGGCGCCTCCTAGGCGTCCGGTTTTCGCAAACTCCTTTAAAAAAATATTTTCCCCAAAATAATTTCGTTTGTTCAAAAAAAAAATATATATATATATATATATATATATTTTCCTTTCTCTTTCCCAATGAATGCATGAATGTGCATGTTTCGATTTATCAATTCAACCATAGGCTCTCACACATTTCATTTACATCATTATCACAATTTAATAGAAATTTCTAAGCAATCATTTCTTTTATTTATTTATTGACCATAACATCATTTTCTTTCAAAGCAATAAATAAATAAATAAATACATAATATTAGGACATACAATATGTCAACACTAAACATGCTCAATCACCGTAATAAATCTAGTCATATATATGAATTCAAATAACACATGAAACACATTTAGCATTTTAGTTAAACATACTTCAACCACAAACTAGATAATCAAAATTAGCATGCATAGGATCAAATTTAAGGGGAAAAATTCACAAAAAAACTAAGAAACTGTAGATTAGAACACCCCTACCTCAATGGAAGTGAAAACTCCCAAAATCCCCAAATCCAAGCCCAAGAACCCTAGAATTTTGAACTCCCTAGAGTGCACCAAATGATGATTGGCTCCTATCAAATTGAAGGCCTTGACGAGCTCTCCAACTTTGCTTCACAATACTCTACCAAAATTCAAAAGTTTAAAGCTAGATCAAGCTTAGAGATTGCAAAAAGAAAAAGAAGCAGTGAGATGCCGAGAGGGGAAAGATGCACTAGAGAAAGAGAGAGAAAACAATTGGGTTGTGGGTCGTTAATGCCTTATACACTTTTTGTGTGTTTTAAAACATGGGTGGGGCCCACTTGCTTTATTTCTTTTTCTTTTAGCATTATATATATATATATATATATATATATATATATATATATATATATATATATCACAACATTACAAACAAACCAAAAAGATAGGTCGCCCTTTGAGGTGAAGAATCGACAGTTAAAATACTCAGAGGTTTTCACTTTTCAGTATTACCAATAACTTCGAGAGGATTGTTGGTAGAGGAGGATTTGGAATAGTTTACCATGCCTCTATACTCTATAGGTTACTCACAGGTTGCTGTAAAGATGCTCTCTCCATCCTCAGTTCAAGGGTACAAGGAATTCCAAGCTGAGGTAACATGCATAACTCTAACAGTAGCTTTCGAAACCATCAAAGTAGGATGATGATATCCAATGAAATATGTGTCAAAAAAAAATAATAATAATAATAAAAATCAAGTAACATTTTGAGCCAATGGATGTATATGTTGGAATTAATAAATGTGGCTTTCTAATATTGCAGGCGAATCTTCTTACTAGTGTTCGTCATAAGAACTTAACTTCACTTGTTGGCTACTGCGATGAAGGCACCAACATTGGAATTGTCTATGAGTACATGGTTAATGGAAACTTAAGAAGGCATCTTCTAGGTATACAGGTCATTTAAATGTCATTTGAAAATTTTCTTGTGCCAAGCACATGACTGAGTTTCCCCTCTAAATTGATACATACTTCAACTGTTTTGAGTTGGGAAGAGAGGCTCCGAGTAGCAACTGATGCGGCACAAGGTTAGTAAGAAACTAGATTGAAGTACATTTTTTTCTTTAACTTTTACATGTTATTTATTTAAGTTGTAATCACAACTATTACTTATGTGGATTTTCAATTGAAGGGCTGGAGTATTTGCATCATGGTTGTAAGCCACCAATAATTCACAGAGATGTAAAGTCTGCCAATATCTTATTAAATGAAAATTTTCAAGTCAAGCTTTCTGATTTCGGGTTGTCCAGAGTTTTTCCAACTGAAGGTGGTACTCATGTATCAACAATTGTTGCTGGCTCTCCTGGGTACCTTGACCCTGAGTAAGTATTTTTCTTGTGTATACAAATGACTATATATCATCACTTCCAATAGTTCTAGTGATCATGTTAATGGCCACTCCCAACTACTTTCTATCACTTATTACTAACTTCTTGATCATATTAAAATGGACTTTTATAGACTATATAGATATTTTAGGCACAAGAATAGTCATGGATATAGACTGTTCTATACACACACACACACACAAAGGTTTCTAAGTTCCGATAATTGACTTGTAGGTATTGCACATCAAATAGGTTAACCGAGAAAAGTGACGTGTATAGTTTTGGGGTTGTTCTCTTGGAGATTATTACAAGTCGGCCACCAATACTAGAAGGCCATGACAAGTTACACATAAGCGAATGGGTTGGTTCCAAGATTGTAAACGGTGATGTTAAAAGTATTGTTGATCCCAGATTGTAGGGAGATTTCGACATTAATTCTGCTTGGAAAGCTGTAGACTTGGCAATGACTTGCGTATCTTGCAATTCCACCCAAAGGCCAACCATGAATTTTGTGGTGACGGAATTAAGGGACGGTTTGGCAACAGAGAGAGATCTTCATGGGACAGAATGGAAAGATTCAATTGGAGTGCCTTCGTATCTGGAGAGTGAAATAAATCTCCCATTGGTGAGATAACTCCACAAATTAAATGCATTCTTGTTGGGTGTTCAACGTTTTCTACTTTAATCCATGTCTGTGACTCAAAAAAGTGTGTCAAAAGTATGTATGGCTAGACTATATCTAAGCAAATGTGTTAAAAATGTGTAAGTTTTATTCAACCTTTGTTTTTTTTATTTATTTTAGTTTCAAATAGTGATTGGCAGACCAATGGCCCCGGTGCCATGTAATAATTTCTCCACAACAGGAGGGATTGCTTTTTGTACTGTGCAATTTTCTGAGTGGTAAATGGATGATGTGGTTGTTTATGGACTTCTGTCTCTATATATCTAAAGTATGTATGTATATTAGAAAATTACATCAACATAGGTTGTCTTTTCTTTTCGAAATATAAGGGAATAATTGCAGCATATGTGATGCAAAAGCAAAGTGGAAAAGGCTACTAAAATTTCAAAGAGGCTTTATTTGGATGGATGGATTTGAAAAGAAGTTTAAGGTTCAAGTCACAAAAATAATAGGAGGTTTGGCAAATGGATTTAGATTTCTGTTTTTCCCGGCAAGTTGCAAAGAGGGAGAAGTTTATTATTAATATTAATTTTTTTTTTTTTTTTTTTTTTATTTATTTTTTTTTAAGTTAGGTAAGTACTCACACACACATTTCACAAATTGCCCACTACAACATTTAAACTTTTCACTTGCAACATTCCATTAACTTTCTGTTCACCAATTAATCCAACCTTTATTCCCCAATCTGGTAAGTTGTAATCTTAAAGGAGAAAGTGTGTGAGTTTGCTTTACCATCTCGGGAAAAAAAATAATAATAATAAAATAAATAAATAAATAAATGGAGATAGTTTTCACACAAACACTGCAATTTGACATCTCAGAAGTAGATGCTCAACTGCTTCATCCTCTACTTCACAGTATCTACAAATTTTATACTCAATGATTCCCTTCTGGTTTAAGTTGCTTTGAAAAGCTAACTTCCCCTGGCAACACTCCGAAATTGTATCTATAGTTTCCATATTGAATTTTACAGTCATGCATATTATGTCCATTGTCGCTACATGTTCTGATAAAACTTACGAAGTACAAACATGTAAATATGCAATAAGTAGATAAGATTCAACACCAAACACATGAGATATTTAACTTGTGGAGTTATCGTATCGTTGGGAAATTCATTTCTGTGTCCAGATTTATAGGTCCTTCAATTGAATCTTTGGATTCTGTATGGTGGCAAGCTATCTCTGGTGCCAAACAGTCCCTTAATTCCATCACCACATAATTCATAGTTGGCCTTCTGGTGGAAGGGTGAGACACACAACTCATTGCCAACTCTACTGCTTTCCAGACAGAATTAACCTCAAAATCTCCCTGTAGCCTTGGATCAACAATGCCTTTAATATCCCCATTTTCAAGCATGGAACTAACCCATTGAATTATGTGAGTCTTTTCATGGCCTCCTGCTATTGGTGGCTCACTTGTAATTATTTCCAAGACAACAATCCCAAAGCTATACACATCACTTTTCTCCGTAAACCTATTTGATGTGCAACACCTGAAAACAAGCACATACAATTAAAATATTTATACCAGCTACTAAGAGAAGTTGATAATGAAATGATCATTTGGTAAACGATTTCTTCTAATTTATTATGTAATCAAATTGTTGAGGAAAAGAATTTTGAAGACTTCTGCTATTGAAAAAATGAGAGTTGATTTTGAGTAAAATTCAATCACGGTATAAAAAGAGCTAGCCCAGTGCACGAGGCTCCCACTACTGCAATGTTTGAGAAAGGTTAGATGTACTGCGCCAAGATATGCTCTCAATCATATATAAGAGAAAACAAATCATATACCAAAAGTAAAAATACTTACTCAGGATCAATGTAGCCAGGAGTACCAGCAACAGTAGTTGATACATGAGTTCCACCCTCAGATGGAAAAACTCTGGACAACCCGAAATCAGAAAGCTTGGCTTGGAATTTTTCATTCAGCAAGATATTGGAAGACTTCACATCTCTGTGGATTATTGGTGGCTTGCAACCATGATGCAGATACTCCAGCCCTTCAATTGAAGTCTTCATTAATTACTAGCTACACTCAGCAGCTAATAGCAAGAAAATAAGAATTAAACCAAAAATTGTATTTCGTCTCTATTCTTACTAACCTTGTGCCGCGTCAAGTGCTATTCTCAGCCTCTCTTCCCAACTCAAAACAACTGAGTTTTTATCTGCATCCATAAATTAAAAGAAAAAGGAAATTGTCCAAGCCAAATAATTTGTAGTTCCTTGCTGAAGCAGAGACTATATATCAGATGGGGTACATAGTCATATTGTGTAAAGTTTCAAGCATGACATGCATACCTAAAAGATGCGTTCTTAAGTTTCCATTAACCATGTACTCGTAGATGATTCCCATGTTGGTGCCTTCTTTGCAGTACCCAACAAGAGAAGTTAAGTTTTTATGACGAACACTCATACAAAACTCGGCCTGCAGTATAAGAGGCACATTAAGTTCAACGTTATATATATATATGATGAGCTCAAATTCCATGTAACATTTCATTTTATAAATATTCCTTTATCAGAGAGTACTGTGAAACAAAGATAGTTCATTGGATATCATCATCGAGTTATCCAGGGCACCTCTGCTTGGAGTTCCTTGTACCCTTGAACTGATGACGGAGAGAGCATCTTGACGGCAACTTGAGAGCCACCTAAATAACCATGGTAAACTATTCCAAACCCTCCTTTCCCAACAATCCTTTCGAAGTTATTGGTTATACGGGAAACCTGAGAGTATGTTAACTGTCGATTTTTCACCTCCATGCACGCATCTATTTGATTTATTTCAGCATCCTGCTTTCTGACTACTGAGATCACATCAAAATCAATAATAAAAATAAATAAATAAATAAAAATTCAATTGAGAAAATCTTTTTATGGTGAAAATATGGATATTTATGTTCTAAATCTTGTAAGTTTTCAACTATATATAATGATAATTGTTTTCTTACCTCGTTTTCGCCTTTTAATAATCCACAAGGCAACCATTATTGCAATTAAGAGCAAACAAAGTGCAGCTGCTACGGATGCTACTATTGGAACAACCTTCTTGTTTTTCTTTTTGCATGGAATCGACTGACAAGGATTTGTGTTTTCACCTTCAATCGAGTCAATACTGTATATGATGACAAATATTATACAAGTTGTCAATAAATGTTAATAACTTCTAATGCCAAGTTAGTCAAGGCTATTTTAGGAAACAATTGTTGGGATGGAGTTCATTTGGATTTTCATTTCTCACGGTACTGAAATTAGAAACTGAAAATAGTTCAAATATTGGTTTCGTTTACAGTATTTAATTCAAAAACTGAGTAGAAAACATCTAATTCTTTGAAAATGATAATTTTTGAGTTCTCTGAAAAAAAAAATTTGTCATAAAAAAACTTTCTTTTAGAGGGCTAAACCAAACAAATTCTTAATGATTACCTTAATGACAATGAACCATCATTGGACCTTGCAACCAGATCTGGTGGAAGTGAACCCGTGAAGTTGTTTCTCTTCAAGTTTCTGAAGAAGAAGAGTGAACATGATCTTTCTATCCATTTTTCTATTTCTTTTTTCATGCCAATAAATTTTCAATCTGATTACCAGATCTATGAAACTTACAGGACTTTTAGGGAAGTCAGTTGAGAGAGAAAATTAGGCACCTCTCCAGTTAAGCTATTGTTTGACAAATCCCTGAAAGAAGCAAAAGTACAACTTTAATTATCATTGGTTATAAAAAATAAATAAATAAATAAACTTCTATTTTTTCTTTCTATGACCAAATGAATAAATAAAAGTAGTAGACATATATGTTCTATTTAGTATTTGCTAGAAGAGACTTCGATCTCATACTTACAAAGATTGCAGCATGGTGAGATTGGATATGTAAGAAGCTATCTCCCCTGTCAATCCACCAGAGGACAAGTTCCTAATTTCAAGTTGAATAATTTTATCAATATATGAATAGTGATCAAATCATGAAAATTTATATATATATATATATATATATATTGGTAATTATATATATATATTGGTAATTAGAGAGGGCATAAACGTACAAGGATGTGATCCTAGGGAAATCTAAACCATTTTTGCTACAGTTGAGGCCATCCCAAACGTATTCTGGAGGGGCACATGGATCTCCTTGCCAGTTTCTCGTCACTTTATAGCTCGACTTTATGCTCATCATAGCAGCAACTAATATTTCAAAATACAAAGCATGATATTATCAATGAGAGACGCAGAGAGAATTAATTAGAACATATGGAAGGGCGGGAAAAACACATCGAAGTTCAAAATCAAGAACATATATAATTACCATCAATTTCATCTGTTTGCGAGTGTAAGGACTGTTTTACAGCATAGAGTTCTGCGGCATTGATGATGGGAGGAAGTGTTGAATTATTGGTCTTTCTGATTGAGAGCTCGTACTTTGGATAACTCACAGGTGCTGTGCTGTATATTAATGTAGTTGTTGATAAATAATTGGGGGAGACAGCTGGTTCTTGGTTCAATTGGTTCCCATTCAAGTAAATGTTGAATTCTCTGGTTTGGTTATCTTGCAACAACTGAACTTCCGCGAAGTATAAGTAGATATAAAATTGGTCTGTGGGACTGACAGGCTGCCATGGCGGAAGGTACAAGGATTCCCAGGTATCACTTGGTGTGATGGCAGAGCTCATGACTTTAGATGGTGGCTGGTACAGACCGTCGGATTTTATTGTAGAATCCGATGATGGGGTACTTAACTTCTTGTAGTTCTCGCTACAGGGCCTCCATATGCGATCATAAACATCATCTTTGTATCTGAGATACATTAGTACCACAGGCCTGACTCATGAGCATATATATATAAATATATCAAGTACTACAGAAATTCAAATGAAGGAGAAACTTAATTGATTCTTCCTAGCTAGTTAATTTCTAAATTCAGATAGGAAAGACCAACCTGATACTTTCACTGAAATAGTCACCCCTTATTGAACCCAAATCTAGACGCCCCAAGAAATTTAGTGATACATTATTTTCTGTTTCATACATAGAATTATTCAAAGGCCTCAACTCCAATGATGAGATGAATGGTGTTCCATAGCCTGTTTTTACAAGACAAACATTTATATAATCTGCAGTGGGAACATGTATGATCTCCTGAATCAAAGTAGAGAAGATATCATCCAGTAACACCGTAACCCAATAGTCAACTCCAATGTATAGATCGAATTTTGGTGGTTGATCTTTACCATCATAGTTTCCGTAAAAGAATAACGCCCTTATCAAATATTTATTGCCTCTCCCTCCTTCAGGTCTCAGAGTGTAACAATTTCTGCTACCGTTAGGAAAGCTTCTTACGTTAAACAATTGTTGTTCCAGTGCGTAGTCATACCTAACAGCAGAGGATATAGCCTTGCTTTCACCTGTGTCTACAAAACCTGCATCTGAAGTGTAACGTATTCCTGTTGTCTTGTCTATGTAGTTGGAATCTTCAGGAGGAATTCCACAAGCTATACTAATGAAGCCTGAGAGGACAGAAACATTAGCCAAATGACTAAAATGCTAAATAAACTCATTGAATAAATTTTAATAATAGAGCTGTTATAAATACTGACAGCAATAATTTTCTAATATTAAATATTATAAAATTCCATTGAGTCTAATTAATTCATTAAGATCAACTTATATTGGAAGGCCGTTGTAGAGTCCTAGAATAAATTAGAATCTTTTTTTGTTACAGAGTGTCAGATATTATTTGTTATTTGTTTGTAGTAGTGATAAAATTTTATTCATAAAAAATATAAAGGAATTAAATTGTCTAAAAAAATTGGTTATAAACCTCTATCCGTAACGTAATTTTAAAAATTACAATTCCGAACTTCACTTAAACGCGCTTTTTTGATGTAAACTCTACCACCTATCAGGGTTTTTTTTTTCTAACCAAACACATTGCACCGCAATTTTTTAAAATGAAAGTAAGAGAAGCAATTCCAAACACTCAAGCATAGTATCACACAAGCCACATGCACGGGCAAGAATGGACAATTTTAGGACTCAGTACAACTTAATTTGTGTGGTACTCTCATAAAAATTATTTATTCAAAAATTCAAACTTGATATCTAATAATATGTTATATCTGACTCAAAACATTTTCTTTTCACAAGAAGAAAAGCCAAAAAAAACAATTAAGCACTTAAATAAAGATGGGCCCACATAATTAATGTAATCGACTAATTGGGTGTATTCAATCATAAACCTATGATCACCGCCATCATATAATATGTATAATATATATGGGCGCGCACGCACATATATATATAAGATTATATATCAATTTTAGCTTGAATAAAACTATAATCACAAAAATTTAGGGTATAAAAAAAAGATTTAGTGATTTAGAATTTAAATGGAAAAAAGGTCTCAAAGTAGAACTTATTGGTCCTAAAAGAAACTTTGTAGGACTTATTTATCTTTTAGTGAGAAAGTATGGTGCTCTTTAATAAAACTGAAAATTAAGTACTTAAAGTTTTAAAAGTTGATTTTTATGTGTTGAAGATTTTAAGTGGTAATTAAAAAATAAAGATTTTTTGATATCTTTTTGAATTTTCAACGTTAAGTATGGCATGATAAGTAATACCTATGTCATTTCAAATGGCGCTTACTATTTTGTACATTGTAAAAAATTGGGCAAAGTTACCACCATCAACTTGTAACATTTTCCAGTAACTCCCATCGTCTAATTTTTTTATCAAATAACCACCCTCAACTTGTAGTCTTTTTTCAATAAATCCCCCCGTCTAATTTTTTACCAAAGAACCCCCCCCCAACTATGTGAGGGGGTAAGAGAGTTGATATTTAGACCAAAATGCCGTTTTATTTAAATCTTAATTTTTTTCAACTTAAAAAATTTATATCTCACAAACTGTACATCCAAATATTACAAATAATAAATGCACGGAAAGTTTATAAAATAAGGATTTCAGAAATATAAGATTTGTTTAACAAAACTTCAAAACCAGAGAGAAATAGACAATCTAAAAATATACTATAACAATCTTATTTTATTTTTTGAAAATAAACTACTCGAGATATTTGTAAGAAAATTTTCAGAATTATTCATTTTCATATGGAGCAGAACATAAAAATAAAAAAATAAAAAATAAAAAAAAAAATAGCCCCAAATAGAGACCGAATATTCATTTATATATTATTTTTTAAATGGTGAGGCTATAAAAGAATGAAAATTCTTTGACGCAAAATATAATATCTCATGAAATCAATTTTTGTTGGGGCTAAATTTTTATATATTCTGCTCCTAATGTAAATGAATAATTCTTAAAATTTTCCTGCAAATATCTCGAGTATTAAAAAATAAAATAAGATTGTTGGAGTAAAATTTTAGATTGTCTATTTCTCTCTAGTTATGAAGGTTAGTTGCACAAATCTTATATTTCTGAAATCCTTATTTCATAAATTTTTCGTTTATATATTATTTACAATTTTTAAATGTACGGTTTGTGATATATGAATTTTTGAAGTTTAGAAGAATTATGATAAATAAAAGGGCATTTTGGTCCAAATATCAACTCTTTTACCTTACTCAGATAGTTGAGCGGGGTTTTTTGATAAAAAATTAGATTGGAGTTTACTGAGAGTGGCTAAAAGTCAGAGGGTTTTTTTTTTGTACTTTGCCCAAAAAAATTAGATAAACATTAATTTAATCTGTTGCGTTAAATGTTGAAGTTATCAAACATCATCTAAGAGTTATTGATAATTATCCAAATTTAAAAAATAGCTAATAAAATTAACCATCATTTAATGGATGGCATTGTTACGAAGTCCGTTTGGCATGCGCTTTGTTTTTGGCGTTTTGTTTTTATCTAAAACAGAAATAGAGTTTTTGCTCTAGGGGTGTTTTGGAAAAAAATTGAAAGTACGTTTAGGAACGTTGTTTTGTTGTGGAAATGTTAGAAACAGAAACATGCACAGTTATGATTTTTGGGCCATAAATAGTTGTCAAAATAAGAAAAAATATCTTTTTAATGTTTTAATTTTGTACCACTGTTCACGAAGTGTTTTAACACTGTGTAAAATAAAATAAAACCGCATCAAATATGTTTTTGTTGTCAAAATTGACATTATAACAATCTAAAAACAAAAATAGTAGACAGAAAACACATGCCAAACGGGCCAATGTGTCGACAAATATTTGTAAATGTAAACATTTATTGATTCAATGATTGCAGCTGTGAGAGAGAGAGAGAGAGAGAGAGGTCTATTATACCTGATGAATCTTGTCCACGAACCAGCAGTGCAAGAGCTAAACAAGCAAACAAAAGAAAAGACAGCTCCATTGCTCTCCTTTGATTCTTTGGTGTTCAGAAATAGGAGATTCAGTGCAAAATAAAGGTGATAAGGTGGCGGCTTTATATAAACGTAGGTTCTCCAAAATAGGAGATGTACACACATCATTTCATGCATTTATTTACTTGTACCTTTCAAAGACTCTGTCCACCTCCACCCGTAAGTCTCTTTTGTTGGCATTCTTGACCAGCACAGGGAGTCTCGAAGGGCCGGAGAAATTAGAAATTGACGGTCTCATAGGTTTTTTTAGAAAGAAATTTCATTTGCCCTCAAGTTCTTCTTGACTTGACTGGACTTGACTTGACTTGCAATAATGTGAGGCGCGTGGACCAACAATTAGACATTTTTCCTGAAAAATTAAATTGTTGAATACTTTTTGTGAAATTAACGCATAACACGTACGATGGGTTAGAAAGTCACTCTCATATAAACTTCTTAATTTTATGGGTAGGAATTATTAATTTCTTATTATATTTGTACATGTGTAGTAAAAAACTTGAAAAATGAGTGAAATAGTAGATTATTCTATTAAAAACATCCATTGCATGAAAAAAATATTAGGTGAGTCAGCCCATAACAAACACCATTATTTTAAGGATTTATTTTACTGACATCCCCTCAGATTTTGGCCAAATATCAATCCCAAATATCTTTCGAAAATAACTATCACTATAACGACCCGAACCTAAGGGTTCGAATCGCTAACCGAGTCTTTACCCGAACCCAAGATCATCTAACGTATTACCGTTTTGTCCTATATCAATGCATAAAATATATACGTCATCCTAAGACTCATAGTACATCATATCACTAACATCACAGAAAACTCACAAATGCAGGTAGAATAGTAGCGGCGTCTAAGTGCGTGGAAAAAAGTCATACGTCCATACTCCTCCAGTTTCCTAAAAATGTTAAGATCAGGGGTGAGCTCAACAGCTTAGTAGGTAATGCCTAAAACACCGGTTTTGGACTCCTTTGAGCCAACAACCAAAGAATGGGAAAAAGATATCGGAATCATACACGGGAAATTATCAAAATCACAATCCACGTCATTCAATTTAAAAGATTATCATCACATAATTAGTCATAATCATAGGTATCAAAATGTCATGAAATGCAATGCATTGCATAACCATCCTGAGTCTGGTCTCAAACCAACCCCAAATCCCCACCTACACTAACTGACTTTACTGAGCTGGGATTGACACTCCTAGTGCCAACTTTTTCACGCCCTACACTGGGGCCCACTTTAGGTCACGTTAGCCGCTAACTGACTTTACCCAACTGGGATTAACACTGTTAGTGTCAACTTTTTCACGCCGGGCAGTGCCCACTCTAGGTCAAGTTAGCCACGAGCTCGTGATACCCGGTTCGTTTCTAAATCCTTTTCTCAAAATTCCCTTTCAATCACATTTTTTTACAAGAATCATTTCAACCTCACTTTTTCCAAACCATGCCTATGCCATGAATGGAATTATGCATGAATGAAATTGACAATACACATGATTGCATTTTATCAACTTAATCATATATAGCCATTATCGTCATCATGTATATATATATAACCTCAAGAGAACAATTCAACACAAGACTTGCTCATTAAACAACTTTGCAACTAAGCACATATATATACACAATTAACACTACAAGAAAAGTGTATTTTTACGACCAGTATTTACGAGGTTTATTTATTTTGCCTCGTAAAAATTGCATTTGACGAGGTTCATAAGGGTTCCTTGTAGTTGTCACACGCTTTCACGGGGTTGGAAATAGAATCCTCGTAAAAGAATGCTTTCACGGGGTGTTAAAGGTGTTCGTTAATATATACTTTAACGGGATATAAGCGCCTCGTTAATGAAGGTCAATTTTAACAGGACATAAGCGCCTCGTTAATGAAGGAAGCTAAAATTTCACCTTCCGGCACAATCTCACGAGATAAAAATTGGGTAAAATTTCACTGAAATTCTCATTTTCCCGCCCACAGAATTTCCCACTCCCACGCCAAACTTGATAATCAGCCAAAGCGCGCATGGAAAAAAAAATTCCTTTTCATTCCTACGAACCCTAGGCTTTTATCTGTATTTTCTCTCTAAAGGCAACAAGTCCCTATTACCAAACAAGGGCCTTTGTCTCTTTTTCAGAGCAGCAGCCTCTGAACCCACCATGCCCACCGGAGAAATTGAGCTTCAACGGATCTGTCTACACCCGTTTCTACTCAACCCAAAACTCCCTACCCAAATTTCCCTAATAGCTGACAAATTCGACCCAGACCAAGGCTCTAATCAATTTTTTTCTTCCTTTGTTTCTGCTGATGAGGCTTGAAGTCAGAGAGTTAAGATGAAAACCATCTTAACCTGTTCCGACCTAGACCAAGGCAGAGCTATATCTTCAACCCTCTCTCTACCCTCGAATGATCTGAATACACATTCATTCTTCAGGTAATCTTCAATCCCTCTTTCACTAACATTTTTAGGGCTTTTTTCAATCTCTCTTTCTCAAACATTTTAGTGCTTTTTTCAATCTTTCTTTCTCAAACATTTTTAGGGCCTTTTTCAATCTCTCTTTCTCAAACATTTTTAGGGCTTTCTTCAATCCCAACTTCTCAAACATTTTTAAGATTGACGCATGGTTTTTTTTTTTTTTTTTCTCTGGTTTTATTGTAAATTGTGTTGGCTGAATTTGGTTTGTTTTTGGCTGGATTTGGGTTTTATTATTTTCCATTTCCTAATTGATTGGGTTTTTTTTTTTTTTTTTTTTTTTTTTTTTTGTATTTTATAGTGTGTGTGTGTGTGTGTATATATATATTGTTTGTGCTATATATAATCATCTCTTGATTCTAGTCCAGCGTTATGATTCCCTATTTTATTTATTCGACTTATTTTGGATGGTGTAGGAAAACCTTCTTATTAAGTGTATCACAAGAGCAAAAATAGTTGGCAATCATGAGCCTTTACTTCCTTCATGGGAGTGAGACCGGATTTGCCACCTGGAAATAGAACATTAGAATTCCAAAAAAAAAAAAGAAAAGGAAGAGGCTATTCTCCGGAATTAGGAATTCGTCTTTATGTTATGTTTTTCCCCTGTTTGGAAAATTTGTGAACATAGAAACTATATATATGTGGATTATTTTTTTTCATTGTGAAGAGAAAACTTGTGAATAAAGAACTTAACCACAAAATAATTTTCTAACATAGCGGAAGCGGAAGGAGAAAATAAATTCTCAAATGATAGGAGAGTCGTAGCTCAAAATAACTCACAAGAGTTATAAAACATTGAACTTGTTTTCATTTCAAAATGGAATGCATTTCTTCTTCACACACACACACACACACACCTATTTATAGGTGAAATTACATGAATTCAACAACCTCACCAAAACTCCACTAGACAATTACCAACCATACTCATTAAAGGACTCCATAAAACATTCACCAAACCCACTCATTAAAGCACTCCATAAAACATTCACCAAACCCACTTAGTAAAGCACTACACACTTATTAAAATACCCCACAAAACATTCCTTATGTCTTCCACCAACTATTATTCTACATCAGTCCCCTCTACTTCAAAAGAACTCGTCCTCTAGTTTGATTGTGAATAAAGTTATTCGTCTGGTGGATGGTACTCGAATAAATCCGCCACATTCAAAGTATTGGAAATTGACATGTTTTCTAGCAGTTCCACCATATAAGCATTATCGTTAATTTTTCGCTTAATGCGAAGTGGTCCATACTTCCTGTTTGCCAACTTGCCGTACATCCCAGTAGGAAACCTGGTTTTACACAAGTGTACCATGACAAGATCTCCTTCTTGGAATACTTTCGCTCGTCTGTGCTTGTCAGCTGCAGTTTTATACTTGGCATTGGATTGTTCCAAATTCTTTTTGACTTTAACTTGAATAGCCTAGATTCTTTCACCCATATTTTCTACTACAACGCTCGATCTTGGAGTTTTGGGTAATGGAACCAAGTCTAAGGAATGCCTTGGAACCTTGGTATAGACAATCTCAAATGGTGTCTTCACAGTGGATCGATTGTACATACTGTTGAAAGCAAATTCGATTTGTGGCAGAGCCAAATCCCACTGTTTTGGCTTATCGAGACACAGCGAATCATGTTTCCTAAGGTTCTGTTAACCACTTCTGTTTGACCATCGGTTTGTGGATGACTAGTACTGCTATACTTCAGAGAGGTATCAAACTTCTTCCTTAATGTCCTCCAAATGTGGCTGAGGAACTTGACATCACGATTTGAGGTAATGGACTTTGGAACTCCATGCAAACGAATAATATCTCGAAAGAATAGATTAGCAACATGAGATGCATCTGAGGTCTTCCGACATGGAATAAAATGTGACATCTTTGAGAACCTATCAACAACCACAAAAACAGAATCCATACCTCTTTGAGTACGAGAAAGTCCTAGCACAAAATCCATGGTTAAATCCTCCCCAGATATTTTCTGGTGCAGGAATGGGAGTATATAATCCTTAATTTTGGGACTGTCCTTTGGCTATCTCGCATACTGGACACTTCTGCACAAACTTGCCAACTTCACGTTTCAATTGTGGCTAATAATAACATTCTTCTGCGAGGGCAATCATCTTATCTCGGCCCAAATATCCACCCAAACCGCTACTATGCAATTCTCGAATGATTTGTTCTCGCAGTGAAGTTTTTGGAATACAAAGTTAATTGCCATGAAACAAATATCCATCCTGAATATAAAAATCAGTGGCCAATTATCGTGAGCTGCACTTGTCCCAAATTGTCTGAAAATCTTCATCAGTCGCATACAACTCCTTTAGACAATCGAAACCAACAACCTCTGAGCTCAAGATTGTCAACAATGTTGCTCGACGACTCAAAGCATCAACAACCTTATTTTGCTGCCCCGATTTATGCTTCAGTACGAGGGTAAATTTCTGAAGAAAAGAAATCCACCTGGCGTACATGCAGTTCAAGCTATTCTGCATATTAATAAACTTCAACGCCTGGTGATCATTGTATAACACGAACTCCCTCTGGATTAGATAATGTTCCTAATGTTTTAGAGCACGGATCACTGCATATAACTCTAATTCATATGTGGTCCACTTTTGTTTTGCCTCACTGAACTTTTCACTAAAACACTCAATTGGTCTACCTTCTTGTGAGAAAATAGCACCTATACCCATAATAGAAGCATCACACTCTACTTCAAAGAGTTTTTTAAAGCTTGGCAGTGCAAGTATTGGTGCCGTGGATAGACTTTCTTTCATCAAAGAAAATGATACTTCCTGCTCAGGCCCCCATTTAAATTTACCTTTCTTCATGCACTCAGTAATCGGGGCTACAATGCTACTGAAATTTTGAATAAACCTGCGGTAAAAGGTTGCCAGTCCGTGAAAACTGCGAACATGACTCACAGTCTCTGGTGTAGGCTATTATCGAAAAACACGAACCTTTTCTTCATTAACCTGAATACCATTAACCCCCACAATGAAACCTAGAAATAATAATTTGTCTGTTACAAAGGTGCACTTCTTGAGGTTGACATATAACTTGTTGTCACGCAAGACCCGCAAGACCCTCTACAAATGCTCTATGTGCTCTATTTTATTATGATTGTACACCAAAATATCATTGAAGTACACTACTAGGAATCTGCCAATGAACGATTTCAAAACCTAGTTCATTAGACGCATGAAAGTGCTTGGTGCATTGGGTAGACCTTCCTTTGTCTTGAAAGCTGTCTTCCACTCATCACCTGGTCTAATCCAAATCTGATGATACCCACTCCGTAAATCAAATTTGGAGAATACTTTCGAACCCGCCAACATGTCAAGCATATCATTCAGTCGCGGAATTAGAAACCTGTATTTTACTATAATTTTGTTGATAGCGCAACTGTCGACAAACATCCGCCAGCTCCCATCTTTCTTTGGTGTTAGCAAAGCAGGAACTGCGCAAGGACTCATGCTTTCCCTGATCAGTCCTTTCCGAATCAATTCCTCAACCTGCCTCTGCAACTCTGCATTTTCAGCTGGACTCATGCAGTAATGTGGGAGATTCGGGAAACTAGCTCCCGGAACCAAATCTATATGATGTTGAATATCTCGCATGGGTGGTAACCCATCTGGCAACTCATCTGGAATCAAATCTTGAAATTTTGTCAGTAATGGTTATATTGCATCAGGAATGATTGAATTTCCTTTTGCCTCCAAAAAGTACCAACGATACCCTCATTGCTTCTCCTAACTAGATTCTGTGCTCTCCAGAAAATGCGATTCCACTACAAGCATATATTGTGAAGAAACGACTATATATATATATATACACGCGTGCACGCGTTATGTAATTGTCGTGGACAAGTTCCAAAGTCTCTCATGCATCAACATCAACATCTTCATTTCTCCAACTTGCTTGATTTGATCGATACTATTACAATTAGCAGACATACGTACGTACACACGTGTAATATTACTAAGTGGACTCTAACTCTAAGGACTAAATTAGAAAAAATTTAAGTGTATTCAAAGTTCTATAGCTGTTGATATGGTTCATAGCTATTAATGTCGTTATGTTTGCCCTGTTTATATATATATTTAGGGTGAAGTGCAAGAAACCTTCCTGAATTATTGGTTTTTTGTAATTAACCCTCTTAAACTATTGATTTGTTGCAATTAAGGACAAACTCATCACAAAAGACTATTTTACCCTTTGTTATTAAATTTGTCCCTTCTTATTAAATTGTTTTTTTTATTGTATTTTCTCTTATTTAAATATTAATTATACCATTTACCTTAATTTTATAATTGGTATCAATTGATTATAAAAATGAAAAAATAAATAAATAAATTTGTAGCTATCATTTTCTAAAATGATTAACTTATTATAGTAAAACTTATTATACTCACTTTGAAAAAAAAAAAAAAATTAGTATAAAAAAATATCTTCTTTTTCAAACAATATCCATGAAAAATTAATAAATTACGTAAATAAAAAATATCTTCTTTTTAATGTAATATATTCATGAAAATTAAGAAATTACTTAAATTATTTCAAAATTTTCTATTTAAATAATTAATTTAAGAAATTAAAGGCAAACTTATGCAAATTTAATGAAGAATATTTCATCAAATTAGTATGAATTTTTTTCATAATTTATTTTAACAAGAAAAATATATCAACTGTAATTTAATAAGAAAGGGTATTATAGTCATTTAATAAAAAATAAGTAAGACAAAAGGGTATTTTAGAACTTAAATGTGATAGTTTATGAGTTTTTATACACAAAACATAATTTAGAGGAATTATTTACAAATTTAAACATAATTGAAGAGTTTTTTTTTTTTCACTTTACCATATATTTATAATAAGTCGTACATTTTGAAGCTTCCTCCCTGCTTCACTTGACTTTTGCCATTTTGTTAGTATATGAGAAGACTTTGTCAAATTACCTGTCATATGAAGAATTGAAAAGATCAACCACATGTTTTTTTTTTTGAAAAGATCAACCACATGTTCACACTGATTAATTAGATGCATTCAAACAAGTTTCTTGAACTACTTAATGAATCTATATATCTTAAGTTGTGTAACAATTCAAACATTTTTTCTTTCTTTCTTTATTTATTTTTTTAAATGTCAATATTATATCTCTAAAGCAACTTTTAGATTTTCAGAAGTTTTTAGGAACTTTCATTGAATAGATTGTGAGTGACATATCTTGACTTAACATGCAATAAGCCACAATTAGACTTTTGTTCCTCCTAAAACAATTTCTTATTTTTTTGGGTAGGTATATGTCAAATCAATCTGCCCTTGGAAAAACAAATTGATGAATACTGATAGAAGGCAAAAGTGCAAAATACTCTCGAGGTATACTTCATCTAGCAAAATATCCCTGTAATAAAAAAGTAAACAACTCAATCATAGTAATTTTGAAATTGAGCATTTTGCCCCTCTCAGATGCTGGAATCCTCTTTGCGGTCTGATTTAAATGTGTAATTACATAAATACCCCATATAATAAACAATTTTTAAAAAAACCAAAAATATATAATTGTAGAATGTCCTATATACCCCTGACTATTTTATTTACAATTTTGCTCAAAGTTAAATTTTTTTTTTTTTTCTTTCTCTTCTTCTCTGTCTTCCTTCTCTCTCCTCTCCACCACCAACCCACACAATTACATAAACACTTTAATAGCAGGGAACCAAAGTAATCACAGCCAAAATCCTAGAAGAGGGTTGGGTTTCATTTCGTTTTTGATGCAGATGCAAGTACTCAATCCGGTACTGCTGCCGGTTTCCACCACTGTACGGCGATTGTCAACCAAGGACCTCCACGTGAAGGCGGAGGGATGTGGTCGGAGGATTCGAATACCTGTTACCTGCGCAGCCCAAATTTTCCAACTGACCCAAGAGCTTGGCCACAAATCCGACATCGATACCGTCCGGTGGCTCCTGAAAAACGCCGAGGAAGCGATCATTGAGGATACTAGAGCAGGGACCGTCCAGAAAATTCCTCCATCCTTCTTTATTATGTGTGACGACAGTGAAGGTCTTCTCCAGGGTTTTGGTGCGACAACAACGAATATGTGGGTTTGTTGCGATGGCGATGGAGATGAGATTTTGGTGTGACGACGATGGAGATGAGGGTTTGGGTACTCTCTCTCTTAGTTATACTTGTGATGGATTAAATATTTTGGGTCCTGATGGGATTTTTGCTATTTAATTTTGATTTTTTTGTTGATCTTAAGTTGAATGAATCAATTCTATCACTTATTGGCTATATAAAATTGAGATTGAATTTTCTGATGAATGGTTCACATAATCATTTTAACAAGAACTCTATTAGTATTCATAAAATCTACATTATCATATTTTCTCACAATAAAAATTAATCCAAGAATTAGCAAGGTTTTTGAAGAGAAGTTTGGATTCCTTAAATGGCTGTAATTAGGATGTGTTATTTTGGGTAAGTTGTGCCAATTAAATGGCGAGTTACAAAAGTTTTGGATTCCTTAAATGACTGCATTATCTGGGTGTGTGTGTGTGTGTATATATATAACCCCTATGTGTACTCTCTTTGTGTGTCAACTAAATATATATATATATATATATATGTATTGACATAAGGGCGTCGTTGGGAGACAATGGGGCATGCGTTTCAATGGGATAAAGAGGCCAAAGTTTGTGTATAATGTCAGAGGGTATAATAGTAATCATGGAGGGCATATTTGGAATTAAAAGTCACATTAAATCGCATGCAACAGCATATGATCGGGAAGAGGATTCCGGCGTCTGCAGGGGGCAAAACGCTCAATTTCAGAACTATTATGACTGAATTGCTCACTTTTTTACTTCAAGAGATATTTTGCTCAATGAAGTAAATCTCAAGGGGGTATTTTGCACTTTTTCCCTCATGGAATTAAATCATTGACTTGCGTAA